TGTTACTGCTAAGAAGGGAGAGGAAAGGGTTAGATACCAAGTTAAGTATGAAAAACTTCCATTGTTCTGCTATAACTGCGGTGAATGTGGCCATTGGCATGAGGAGTGCGGGGATGGAGTTCACGACGAAACAAAGTTTGAGTGGGGCGATTTTGTGTTGGCCGATAATGTTCGCTTCAGACAAGTGGGAAGAGGAGGATTTGGCACTCAGAGGGGGCGAGGTGGCCCAAGGAACGCAGGTGGAAGAGGCAGAGGGCGAGAGCAATATAACCCTAATCAGAGTTGGCGCTTCAACGCTAACCAGCAGGAAGTCCATCGCGAGCAAGGCCGGCAGGAGGAAAGGACAGGTGCTGCACAGGCTTTTGTTTAGTCGGGGCCGAGTGAGCACCGGGTGTTGGCCGAAGCGCCGAATTTGACACTAAGGGCACCAGTTGGAAGCAACAAGAGACAGTCTTTTGAGAACAATCCATCAACAGGCACAACCCAGTCCGCCGACGGGAGAGCTGATGCTGATGCTCCTGTGAGCTCTACGACGCTTGTAGTAACGACCTGCCCCCCGGGGGTGCCCCCTATGCCGCTTGTTTATGTCTCCCCACGGAAGGAAGTGAAGCGACCCAAGAAGAATGGGGCTAACAAAGGGGTTTTGTTCGAGGGAATGATGAGCAAGGAGGCAGAAGGAGTGGATGAAGGCAAGGACACAAATGCAGGATCGGCGGGCTCCCTCGAGGAGTGCCGCCGGGCACAATGAGTTCCCTTTGCTGGAACTGTCGCGGTGCGGGTAAAGCCGCGACAGTCCGAGAACTTCGCGACCTGGCGAAGAAATTTACCCCTACCGTGCTATGTATCGTGGAAACACAAATAAAGGATGCGTGTGTAGAAGCTTTGGCTAATAATTTGGGCTATGATAATGCCTATGCAATAGATAGTAGAGGTAGAAGCGGAGGAATTGGAATTTTCTGGAATAATACAATAAGTCTTGAGATTTTGGGTGACTCTGTTTATCATATTGATGCGAAGGTTGAAGAGGAAGGCCGAGAACCATGGAGGCTAACATGTGTATACGGCGAGGCTCAGACTCATCCGAGACACCAGACTCGGGACCTTTTAAAATGGTTATCAACTTTGAATAACCTCCCTTGGCTGTGCTTGGGGGATTTCAACGAAGTGTTACGTCCGGAGGAACATGATGGAGTTGCTAACCGGAGTAATGCACAAATTCAAGGTTTTCGTGATGCGATTGATGTTTGCATGTTGATGGATTTGGGCTATCAAGGCAGATTTTGGATATTCGAGAAAAAAGTGACGGGGGGTTCCTACACCCGTGTGAGATTGGACAGGGCGCTGGCTACGACGGACTGGGCAGCACGGTACCCTTTGGCCAACGTAACACACTTGACAGCAGCCTCCTCGGATCATGGACCTATTTTGGTGCAGTATGAGGAACCAGTGGCACGTCCAAAACCGAATTTTCGCTATGAGGTGATGTGGGAGTCCCATGAAGCCTGGCGTGACACTATTGCTTCTGGATGGAATGAGCATCAAGGAGATGGGGGAGTGGAAGCACTTCGCAGAAAGCTCGAACTACTCTCAAAGAACCTCACGACATGGAATGATGAGACTTTTGGGAGCGTTAGAAAGGAAATCAAGAAGGCTAAAGGTGAACTAGAAAGGCTGTGATGTGTTCCGTCAAGGACGTCTCCAAATCATCTCGAGATGAAGCTTAATGAGCGGCTGGTTGAACTATATCATAGAGAAGAAATTATGTGGAGACAGAGATCGAGAATTCAGTGGCTAGCAGCGGGCGATAGAAGTACAATTTTTTTTCACATGAGGGCAAACTTGAGGAGGAAGAAGAACATGATCCGGGCACTCCATAACGCGCTGGGCATACGTGTGGACGACAAGGCCGACATGAAACAGCTTGTTACAAACTTCTATAAAACGTTATACACCACAGAGGGAGTTCAAGGGATGGATGACGTGCTTCAGCACGTGCCTCGTAAGGTAACATCAAATATGAATGCTTCACTTTGTGCCCCCTATTCAAACGAGGAGGTGAAGCAGGCGCTTTTTCAGATGTTTCCCACCAAGGCCCCAGGCCCAGATGGATTCCCCGCACACTTTTATCAGCGTCATTGGGACATTTGTGGAGAGGATATTACTAATGTGGTACTTCGGATTATCCGAGGAGAGGAGAGTGCAACTAGTATTAATGACACGGTCCTTGTGTTGATCCCCAAGGTACAAAACCCCACTCTCCTTACCCAGTTTAGGCCTATTAGTCTTTGCAATGTTATCTACAAAATTGCGTCAAAAGTTGTAGCGAATAGACTCAAAGTGATATTGCCAGATATTATCTCAAAGGAGCAATCAGCTTTTGTCCCAGGAAGGTTAATCACCGATAATATCATATGTGCCTATGAATGCTTGCACTTTATGAAGAGAAAACGATCCAAGTCTAATAGCTTTTGTGCACTCAAGCTGGACATGATGAAGGCGTATGACAGAGTGGAATGGCCTTACCTACAAGCCATCATGGGTAAGCTTGGTTTTGCTCCGGAATGGGTCCAGACCGTAATGAGTATGATCACTTCGGTGTCGTTCTCGGTTCTGTTTAATGGAGAGAGATTGGAGAGCTTCTCACCATCCAGAGGTATTAGGCAGGGAGATCCTATTTCCCCTTACTTGTTCTTGATCGCAGCGGAGGGCCTTTCGTGCCTCTTAAAACATAGTTCTCAGTCATTAGTGCTCGGTGGCATAAAGGTGGCACCCACGACTCCGGCAGTGAATCACCTTTTGTTTGCAGATGACAGCCTGCTGCTTTTCAAGTCTAGCATCCAAGGGGCAAATGAGGTATCAAACCTACTCGATACTTATTGCTTGGCTTCAGGGCAAAGAGTAAACCATGATAAATCATCGATCTTTTTCAGTAAAGGGTGCCCAGAGACTTAGAGGGGACATTAAGAATATACTCAGTGTGCAGAATGAGTCTCTTAGTGAGAAGTACTTGGGCATGCCAACAGATGTGGGACAGTCAAAGAATGGCACTTTCAAATACTTACGAGACAGAGTTTGGGAAAGGATAAAAGGATGGATGGAGAAACTCTTATCTGTTGCCAGAAAGGAGGTTCTAATAAAGTCCGTGGCCCAAGCAATACCAGTATGTCGTGTTTCAGGCTTCCGAGGGGCCTTTGTGATAGCATCACTTCCCTTATCCGTCGTTTTGGTGGGGAAGCAAGAGGGGAAAGAGGAAACCTTGTTGGGTTGCATGGGATTTGATGACACGATCAAAAAGTTTGGGAGGATTGGGATTTAGGGATATCGAGATATTCAACTTGGCACTTCTGTCCAGACAAGTTTGGAGACTTTTGAATGATTCGTCCTCATTGAGTGCACAAATCCTTAAAGCTGTTTATTTCCCACAAGGCTCTGTTCTAGACGCTCAATTAGGCCCGCATCCCTCACAGATCTGGCGCTCTATACTTGATGGGAGGGATGTAATCATCAATGGGGCCATCAGAAGGATTGGGGATGGAGCCTCCACGCACATATGGAATCATAGCTGGATTCCTCGGAATGGAATGATGCGGCCGATTACATCTCTGGTGGATGTTCCTCCACAGATGGTGTCAGAGTTAATTGATCACACTTCGGCTGAATGGAGGGAGGACGTGGTCAGGCAGGTTTTTATACCACTAGATGCTGAGGCTATTTTACAGATTCCATTGTGCACTCGGCAGGTGGACAATTTTTGGGCATGGCATAATGACCCCAAGGGACGTTTCTCTGTACGGTCTGCTTACCGGATGATTGTCAGCATCAAGCTTGGGCGCGAGGCATGGCTAGAAGAACGGGAGGATCCTTCAAACTCTGCAGCTGAATTGCGGGGGTGGAACTCCATTTGGAAAGTGGCAGTACCACCGAAGTTGAGAGTCTTCACATGGCGACTGGCGCACCACTCGCTCCCGACGGGTGACGTTCTAAACCATCGGAACATGGCAACCTCGAGTGTTTGCCCACTATGTGGAGGTCGGGACAGTTGGCGCCATTCCTTGCTGGATTGCAGTGCGTCCCGCTGTGTCTGGGCTTTGTCTGACGGCGAATTGGTGGAACATATGCTTGCAACAACATAACCAAACGCACGACTATGGCTTTTTGCTATGAGCGAAACACTTCCAGCAGAGCAGCTTACTGTGTTGATTGTCACCTTATGGGCTATTTGGAGTTCACGACGCAAGGCTATACACGAAGAGATCTTCCAGACCCCTTTTGCCACGGACAACTTCATCAAGTCTTACCTGTCAGACATAGAATTCATGAAGAAGAAGGTGGGAACACAGGTGACAGCGATTTCACGGCCTGCAACGTGGGTACCGCCACCTGCTGACCACTTCAAGATCAATGTGGACGCAACTGTGTCTCGTTCGGGCACTTTTGGTGCAGTTGGAGTAATATGCAGGGATGCAGGGGGCTGTTTTTGGGAGCTTCGTCACTAACCTTGAGGGGCCTTCGTGATCCTCAAGTGCTTGAAACATTGGCTATCCGGGAGGCGTTAGCTCTCTAGAAGATCTCTATCTCAACCAAGTTTTGGTGGCCTCGGATTGCAAGGTAGCAATTGATGCGATCAGGGAAGGAAGTCAAGCAAATTTTGGCGCCATCGTCCAGGAGATCAAGGCTAGAGCAGCTAACTTCATTTCATGTTCTTTTAGTCATGAGTATAGGACCTCCAATATGGAGGCTCATAATCTCGCAAAGTATGCTTTATCTTTAGGTTTTGTCCGTCACACCTGGCTAGGCCAGACCGGCGACCTTGTTTTTGTACCCTTGAACATTAATCAGTAATAAAGCTTTGCGAGATTCTAAAAAAAAAAACCAACCCTAGTAAGCCCTCCCCTTGTTCTAAAACAAAAATAGTAAGCCCTCCCCGCCCCCGGCGCACGCACGAGCCCCGGCGAGGCGAGCGAGCAGCCAACCGTCTCCGGCGCCGGCGGCAGGCGAGGATGGGTCGCGACAAGTCACGGAGGCTGTCGGGCAGCCGAGACTTCCGGCAGCGGCTGGTGCTGGCGACGCTGACCTCCACCCCGATCACCATCAAGGACATCCGCGCCGGCGAGGGGGGCCTCCGCCCGCACGAGATGTCCCTCCTCCACCTCATCCACAAGGTCTCGGACCAGCACGTCATCGACGTCAACGACACAGGCAAGGGACCGCCGACTTATGACCGCTTCAGGGGCTTCGATTTGGGCTGGTGGCTGATTCTGGTGGGTTCTCGCAGGGACCAAGGTCGGGTACAAGCCCGGGGTGGTCGTCGGCGGGAAGGACCTGGAGCACGACTGCGGGGCGCACCGCGGGATCGGCTACTTCATCGAGCCGCTCCTTCTGCTCGGCCTCTTCGCCAGGTCGCCCTTGTCGATTCGTCTCAAAGGTGAAGGGCGTTTGCTTACCCTGTTTCTGCTCGAGTTCGATTGATTGATTGCCATGTTTTCTACCGGAACTCCGGAATTGCGATACAATTGCAGCCAGGGGTTGTGCGATTAGGTTGTTCTAGATAGAATTATTCGTTATCCAGTCTGATCCATTGTTCGGCCCAATGGGTTGTTTCTGTTGGTGTATATGTGACTTATCACTTGTCTGAGTGGACCCTGTTCTGGTGTGGATTGTTTTGACAAAGGTGATTTTATTGGGGTTTAGTTTATTTGGCTGAATTCACTGTCGCCGAGTAAGCAAACCCTTTTAGCTCTTTCTCATGAACTCATCATCCTTGTGGCCGTTCATATTTCCTAATGGAGATGCTCTGTTCACATCAGGCCTCACAAGCTTTCATAAGCCAACATCTAAAATACGACTTCTTTAGTTCTGCACAAAATTGATGGTCATCGTTGTCACTGATCATACAAGCACCTTTACGGAGTCTAAATTCGATGCCATGCTTGTAGGAATCACAATTTCTCCAGAAGGTTGATGGCCATCGCCGTTACTGATCATACAACGCCTTTTGCTTCTGAATTTAGTATGGAGTCTAAATGTGATGCCATTGTTTTTAGGAATCACAAATGATACAAAGGACCCTTCTGTGGATACTTTCCGGATGGTTACGTTGCATATGCTCAAGCACTTTGGCGTTCCTCTTGAGGGGCTGGAGCTCAAAATTGAAAGCCGGGGAGCTCCTCCTCGTGGTGGTGGCGAAGTGCTTCTCCGAGTTCCCAATATAAACAGTACACTAAAGGTGTGTTGGAGCTTACTTCTGCTCATGTTTCATGATTTCTGTTGACATTCCCGTTCTAATATCAAGTGTTTTTGCAGGCAGTTAATTGGATTGATGAAGGAATGGTAAAGAGGATAAGAGGTGTAGCATTCTCAACGAATGTATCTGCACAGATTGTAACCCGTATCTTCTATGCTGCACGTGGACTCTTCAATAAGTTCATTCCGGATGTTCATATCTTCACCGATCATAGAGCTAGTTCATCTGGTGGATGTGGATTGTACGTTTCCAGCTTGAAGTAGAACCTGTTGAATTTTATTAGTGACACACTGTGCTTTTATCTCCTGGTGTCCTGCTATTCAAAAATTTAAATGGATTCATCTTTTGGCAGGTCAGCAGGCTATGGCGTATCTGTAGTTGCTGAGACCACAACAGGCTGTCTGATTTCTGCAGATGCTACTGTGAGCTATCCCAATGTTGATGAAATGAGTGAACAATCTGAGAAGCCTGAGCTAATGTCTCCAGAGGATCTTGGTGAGCAAGTTGCATCGATGCTGCTAGAAGAGGTGGCTCAAGGAGGAGTTGTTGACTCAACACACCAGGTCTGGTATTTTCATTCCAGTTTATTCCTTTCTTATATTATTTAGCAGGCTGGTGGCAGATATTTTTATATTGTGGCTGATAATTTGTGTTTTCTTTACACGCCTCTCGTATGATTCACAATCATTACTGTGTTTTTTTGTCTACTCTGAAGCACCTGGACCGTTCTGCAATAATAATGGTCATTTTATTTTGGCTGATGATGTTGTAGGAAGATAAATTGGCAATTCTAGCACTTTTTCCCCCTCGAGAACACAGCAGGGGGAATCCTTTCTTCAATTGTATTAACTCAAAAGCCAGCCAGAAAGCTGGATAAGAATTACAAATTTAAACTGAACATAGTTTGCATGGATGTAGTCCGTTAGAATGATTGTTTTATGCAAGTTCTTCTGCCAACCTAGTCCTTGGTTCATTTTGGCAAGATTATATCTTATCTGCCTTTCCTTCTATGGCTCTTTGTGAATCTTGCTTCAAAATGCTTCTTCTTCTGTTAAGTCACATGATGTTTCTCTTGTAAACAATTTGCAGGGCCTTCTGTTCATGCTGTGCGCTCTGTGCCCGCACGATGTGTCAAAGGTTCGCGTGGGACAGCTGACACTGCGCGCTATAGAATCACTTCGAAACATCAAGGAGTTCCTTGATGTCAAGTTCATCATCAAGCCCGACCCAAACTCAAACACGGTCACTCTAAAATGTGTTGGTGCGGGAGTGAAGAATCTTGCTCGGAAGATTTCATAAACAGAACTATCATGAACCTCATCTAGGATGGAAAACAATGTTTTGGAACCGCATCACGAGAATCTTCCCCGTAGTAGTTTTGATGTAAGCTAGTTGATCCAGAATGGATCTGCCTGAGCATATTATAGAGTACCCTCAATTGTATATCATAGATCTAATAGAGCAACTACTTCTGTCTCCTGAGAAAACATGGGCGTGAGCTTTTAACATAGAGATTTCTGGTATTTGGTGTTAGCATTCAGCATGCACCCATTTTGGTGTGCTTTTACTTCCTACTTATTACTAGCCTGGAACATCTAGCAATCTGTGACTGCAAATCGCGCATGCCATTATACTCAGTGTCGAAAGGTCTATTATGAAAGGTGATGAAAAAGAAGATGAAGCTTGCAAGAAGAATATCATTTGATATCATAACATAGTTCATAGAGAATGAACTCCATGCTCACCTAACACATACTATTTCATAGCTATAAGCAACATTCTGCTCAGCTTAGTCCAATACACACACACACACAGGCACAAAATTATCTAGTCTTCTCTCCCCTCTGAATTCATTTATCCATCTCTGTACACAAGTGAATATCATGTCAACAAGAGAAGAGCACATCAGCAGCAGCAGCAGCAGCACATGGATGCTACACCTTCACCTTGACATAAGCAAAGGTGAACATCCAGATCAGAGACAGGACCCAGCTGCAGTTCAGGGAGGCGGCGCCGCTGCTGGTGTCGGAGAAGCCGGCCGGGTTGCCCGGGCCGTACATCGAGGTCCCGCCTGGGTAGTTGTTCGCGTTCAGCACCGTCGAGCCCGACCCTCCACTGCTGACCGCCGGTCCCGTCCCCGTCCCGGTCGTGGTTCCCACCGGCCCGAAGCTCGGCGTCACGCCCACCGGCCCGGAGGTGGTGCCCGTCGCCGCCGGGCTGTAGCCGGCGGCAGAACTGCACATGTCACAGTTGCATGATCAGCTTAGCAGAACAAGTGTAAGAATTTGACTGTTTGATTTGAAATTCCTGACAAGATCATGTGTTCTAGAGACATGTCTTGAACAAATTGTTCATTCTTACCCTGAACCTGATGATGCCTGGTACATGCAAGTTCCTGAACCTGAATAATTCAGCAGCTCGTCAGTGATAATCAGGAGGCGTTGCTAACAGTTTCAGAGCCAGCTGAAGAAGATCAAGTGATGGAGTGGGAGTGAGGGTTTGGTCACTTGGGTTGGTGGCGACGAGCATGCCGGCGCCGCCGAAGTCGCAGCTGGCCGGCGAGGGGCTGCGCTGGTAGTAGGCGTTGAAGGCGTAGGAGGCGTGCGCCTGCATCGTGTTGGGGTTGTAGCAGCTGCCCATGGGCTGCAGCGCCGAGCAGTCGGCGCCGCCCATGCCGCACGCGTAGTCCAGCCCGTCCTGCAGCGCCGCCTCCGTCACCCCGGCCTTCGCCACGCACCATGTTGACTGCCCCGTCCCCCCCGCCGCTGGCTGCACCGTGGTCGGCGTCGGCACCGTCGTCGCCGGCGCCTGGTACACCGGGGTCGTCGGCACGCTCCCCACGCCGGAGCCGGCACCGGTACTGCCGCCTGGGTACGTCGTGGCCGGGTTGGTGATTGGCGCCGTGCCGGGCACCGGCGTCGGCGTCGTGGCTGGGTTGGTGACCGGGGCGGTGAACGGCGCCGGCATGGTCGGCGCGGCGACCGGGTTCGAGAACGGCGCAGGCATCGTCGTCGGGTCGGGCGTCGTCGACGGCTCCGGGTACAGCGGCGGGAGGTTGGGGTTGGTCGCGGACCCGGTGCCCGTGCCCGGGTTGGTCGCCGGCACGGTGACGATGCCGCCTGGGGACGCCGGGTTGGTCGCCGGCACCGTCACCGGGTTGGTCACCGGCGCGAACACGTCACGCGTCGTCGTCGCCCCTGCTCCCGCAAGGAGCTCCCTCCGGCGCCGGGAACCACCCGCGGCACCTTCCACACCACCACCCAAGAACCTCTCCCTGCCCGACGCTCCATCCCGATCCGCGGCAGGCACCACCTCGCCGGGCACGGTCTTCCTGGCCTGCGCCGAACCGTGCGAGAGCAGGAGCATACACAAAACCAAGCTGAGAGCAGGAGCCGCCATTGACGAAGCAATCGGCAATGGCGAGGGCAGTATGCTTGCTGACTAGGCTATGGAGGAAACGGAGCTGGAAATGCGAGGAGAAAGGAGCTCGTTCACCAAAGGCGAAATTTAAAGGCCGGAGGTGCGTGATACAAAGCGGAAAAGCACGAGCAATAGGGGAGGAAAAAAAGGCGGCAAAGCGGATCGTAATTCGTTTCAGATTATAATACTTGCAATTTGAAAATGCAACGCAATGCATGATGCTCCTTTTCTCTTTCTGCTTTGAAACAGCATTTCAGTTTTCAAATACATGTGCACATCCTCTGCTGTCGAGAGAAAAAAAAAAGAAAAGATGCGCCGGGCGCTTAATAATAAGATAGATTTTCCATGTTATCTTCTCACTTTCAGTCGCAGAAGATGCACAAAGGAGTTTGTGCCGACGATTCGGCGAAATGCTACGGCAAAAAGGAAATCTATGTGCATTGCCTCTTTGGAATGCTGATTCAGAAAGGGGTGGCAATGGCATCCCTATTTTCATCAGGAGAAAAGCATACATGTAGAAGGTGGTGAGGGTGTGATGTAACTGCACACACACTGGCAAGCGACAGTCATTTGCTTGCTGTTCTTGTCAACAGGCAGTCACACAAAAGGGAAAAATGCTTTGCTCTCGGCAGAGGTTTTCAGGTCCAATCGACGACAAAGGTGCTTTCTCTCCTTGGTGACTGTCTCTCACACACAGAAACGGTCCTGATCTAGTAGCCTTGCACTGATGATCACTGTGTCTCCAACCCAATCCAATCCAAGTAGACTTGCTGTTCTGGTAGTGGCAGACTTGGCTCTGAAGAAGAAGAAATTTCAGTGTTTGGACCAGTTGGGGCATACCAGATGGGCTCCAAAAAGGCTGCTCTTGGTTGCTCATGCCATGTGCATGCACCAGCTAGCACCTCAAGGACTGGATTCTTGCTTAATTTGCACCATTGCTCTCTGGAATCACTTTTTTTTTGTGTGTGTGTGTATGTGTGCATCTCTCTAGCCAGAGAGGGTTCTTGCCGTTTCCCTTTTGCGAAACGGCCGCGGCGAGCTATTTGTGGCCAAAGATGAGAGTGGAAAGATCAGACAGAGAATTTACATGTACTCCCTCTGTAAAGAAATGTAATTAAGATCGTTTAGATCACTATATTAGCGATCTAAACGATCTTATATTTCTTTACAGAGGGAGTAAGAATTAATTACACGGATTAGATGCTGGAATCCACTGGACCAATGCAGGTATGAAGCTGCCGTGGCTTTCTGAACCCTGAACTGTGAGGCAACAGGAATCTGCCAGAATCAGAGGGTTCAGTACATTCTGTTGCGTTCCTTGTTGGTTGCCAGAATCGGCAAGCAGCGCTACCTACCTGGCTACATCAGCAGGATGCAGGCCGGTTGCATACCGTTTCCTCTATCACCACCTGAAAGAAACTTTTTCTGAAATTTAACCATGAACATAGTTTATATATGAAAATTTAGTAGTGTTATGATTGGTCTCGAGACACATCATTTTGACAGGGAAATCAAGGGGGGCGGATTGCAGGGCTTTGGCTGCTAGTAGATTATAAGTGTCATACGGCCCCTCTTCTATCCAAAGTTAGGATTATGATCTGATCTGACCTGTATGCAGCTGCTTTTTGTTAGCACGCAATGCTAACAGTGCCAGCCATTAAAGTCCTTCTGGCCACACCGGATGGAAGCACTCGCATTGCTTATCAACATTTTATCTGGGACCACTTTCGATCGATTCGATTCGCGTGAAAGTCGTCGAATCGAACTCATCGGCGGCGATAATCTTTTTCGTAGCCTATCGTCATAGATAGGGTTGTGATATTGTTAACCATACGTAGCGCACATGTCTATGTGGAGTTGTCACTTTGATGATGACAGCAAAGGTGCTGACTGGAGAACTTGCGGTGTTTCCTTTGCTATGATTATTTCAGGTGATTTTTGGGTAGAGAATAGAGTACACGGTTTCTCTCTTGCCCCACTCTGGCATATGCTACATTGCCATATAGGTAATCATTATCAAAGAAACACATCATGAGATCGATCGCATCAACATGTTGCTTGGCTATGTTTTCCTAGTATAAAGCTACTAACCAAGGAAGGACAAATGTTTCATTTCTGCACTTATATTAATTGTATAAAAACAATTGGAGAATACACAAATTATGAAAAACTATGAACGTTTACAGCACGAAACATATACCATATAAGAATGTTTTTCATGATGAATCTCGTACCGATATGGCACTGTAGATATTGACTTTGTTTATAAACTTGATCAAACTATACAAAATTTAACTTACGACAAAACTTATATGCATTATAATTTGATAAGCATGGAGCATATTTCCCACGGATAGAGAGAATCAGAGCAACTATGGCAGAGTCACCAAAAGGCCTTGAACTGCATAATAACCATCAATATGGGGGGCAAAGGGCTAAAAACTCACTCTAGAAGATTTGCCATCCACCACTCAATCGCCATATTTTTGGAGTCCCCTCCATATGGGGCCTCCCAGCCTCCACATTTGAAGGATGTGGAGGCCTCGTTTAGAGCTTGCTCAAACCCCACTGCTAGTGTGCGAGGGAGGTTTCAATTTCTTCCGCCTTGTGCCACAGGCGGGATTTGAAGCAGTGGAGCCTCTCTCACACCATTGGCAAGGCAACCACCCAACCATTATGGCGTGAGTCCTCCATCAGATTCCCATGACTGTCGGTTTGATGGCCGCCATGCGACAACATTTCCTAGTTTGCGTGTGAGCAGCCCAGGAGTAAGGTTGTGACGCGGTCATGTTTCTCACTAGGAAGCATGCCCCTTCATGGCCGCCCGTCGCCTCCCACCTCCCCAACTGCCCTCTTATATTAATGGCACTCGCGGAAGGCCGACACCCTCCCCTCTTTCCTATATTTATTGCCCTTTTCCGGTGCCTCCCAATCCCCTCTTGCCCATCTCCGTTCCACCTCTTCCTTTCCAATGGTGCATAGGAAGGATCTCCCCCACATCTTCGGTTTGAAGATGAGGTGGAGGAGAAGAAGCCGGTGGATCCCCTAGACTCCTATTGGGAGCAGATGGAGTGGTCCTTGTTGAGCTTGCGAAGGATACGACGAAAAGGGAGCAACAGATTTGGGACCGCGCGCTCGCCCCCCATCGCCGCCAATGCATGGCCGGCCTGGGACGCAGCCGCCGAGGCGCATTTCTAGGCTATCGAGGCCCACATTGCTGCATTCCCACTTGACCCTGCACCGTCCCCGCCAGTCATGGTCACAACTAGCCGCAGCCGGGGAATCCCAGTCACCGACTCCATGGTGGCTGTGGCCGCAAACTATGAGCTACTTAGTTTATAGTTTAACTAATTATTAGTTAGTCTATCAATGTAAAAGTCGCACTCTGACAATTTTTTTGTCAAAATGAATAGAAACGAAATCGAATTGAATCAAATGTGTTTTGAACTTGGGGATTATTGGGGAAAAACACATGAACCCATGACAGATGGGTCCTACTTGCAAACTGGTATCCTCTTATAAACTGGATCGAGCAATTGTGTTTTTATTCCCACTGAATGACCGCCAGACTTGCTCAACTGGACCCGGGATGGATGGATATGTGTCTCAAACAAACTTTTGGTCTTTGTCAGGTGCCACCATGCATGGTCTGCGTTGACCCTGGCAGCTAGTCTTGAGCAAATCCGCTGCAATGAACCATGGACAAGGAAGGAAGAAAGAAAGAAACAGCTAAAGCACGTAGCTAGCCATTGGGCGATGGATCAAGAGGAAGGAAAGATGGAAGAGAAGATGAGGCAAGAGCCAAGTGGGGGAGGGTAGGGAGGGACTAGTCTAAGCCAGGGATCAGAAAGATAGAGAGAAAAGGCAGCACTTTGCTTAACAGCTAAGGCCAAGAAGGATTGTGAATGGATCGGTCTATACGATTGGTATTGGGGGGTCGTTGATTAAACTAAGAGAGGATTAAAGGAGTTAGCGGGGCACGCACGGCGCTGCACGAGAGAGCATGCATGCAATGCACACGTCGGTCTGACTGACTTGACGAAAAAGGCAGAAGAAGAAGAAAAGGTGGTAGGAGTGAGAGTAATATATGGCCAGCTAGCTACCAATAGCATGCTCGACATGACCGTGATTATGTTCATGCGGTCCTAATACAAGTCGAGTGAGGATTCTTGGAACATTCTTTCGCTCGATCCACCAGCCCGTGCCATGCCGTAGATCGTACGCACGTGCTGCGCGGCTTTCTTCCCGGTGTGTGCATGTGCTTAGCAGCTACACCCTCCGTTCGTGAATAAGTGTACATCTAACTTTTATGTTAAATTAAAGTTTTAAAATTTTGACCAACCTTAGAGCATCTGCAATAGTTTGTATGTTTAATCACTGGTATAATTGTCCACATCAGCAGCCAACATCACATCATACAGACTCTTCAATGTGGCGTATGTTAAGCATATGTTAAATAATTAGGCGGGTCCACTAAATGTTGAATAAATGAATAAGCTTGCCTCGGAGCTTGTGCCTGGAGCGTTGGTTCAGATTCATACGGTTTCATTCGCTCTCTTCTTTCATTATGTGCCATGTCATCAAAATAGTTTAGGTGGCAATTTAACCAACGATGATCATACGACTGTTGGAGATGCCCTTATAGAAAAGAGTAGTAGCATATATGATATCAAATTGATACATTATGAAACTACATTTTAAAATGAATCCAACGATAGTAATTTAGTGCCATAAATGCTACTACTTTTTCCTATAAAGTTGGTCAAAGTTTTAAAACTTTGATTTAGGACAAAATCTAGATGTACACTTATTCGCGGACGGAGGAAGTATGGTAGAAGAAAAAGAGTGGATCACTAGAATGGTTTTTCTTATTTTTACAAGGTAATATGTGTCTTATTTATATCATAAGGATTAAAGTGTAAGCCACCTACGCATCGACCTAGCAAAAATGAACAAATAGCAGAACGTCAGACTTTGCA